CGTATACATCTGTGAACCATCACCACAATCAAAATAATGGATAGAACCCAAATTTTCTCCTGGCCCTGTGTGAATCCTCCCTCAGCAACTTCCCTGCCCATCCCCACACTTCTGTTTCTAAGAAACCAGTTTGTTATCAGAATAGACTAACTTGTAGTTAATGAACTATGATAAATGAAATCATACAGTATGTATTCCTTTTAGTCTTCTTCTTTTACTCGGTACAATTATTCTGGGGTCTATTCATATTGTGTGCCTACCGCACATTCTTTTTCACTGCTAAGTAGTATTCTAACACATGAGTAGGAGATTTTTGACTCTGGCTAGTGGAAGCAGAAACAATTACTAGTCTTGTGTGAGCATTGGAGTTTGTATCTTGTAATCCTTTCAGGTGGTTATTTCCTATCCTCAGGTAATTTCTTAGCCTGCATGCACTGAGTAGTACTGAGCTGAAAACATGAGGGGGACTCGCTGCAAATCTTCAGAGTCCTCCTTCTGTGCAGTTCTTCCCACGTCAGTAACAGTGCCCTGTGATGTCTAGTCATCTTGATCTTCCTAGACTTCCAGCTCCATCTCCTCAACTCAGGCCTACCACCGCTCTCAGCCTGGGGTACCCCTACCTGTACACAGGCAGGAAATTCTCTCCAGGCAGTAAGCTGAAACAATGTTAGGGATCACCTGGCTTGTTTCCCATCTCTCAGAGTCACTGTCTATTGTGGTCTGATGTCCAAAGTCTGAAAAACTGTTGTTTCATGTACTATCTTCTATTTTTTTGTGGTTTTTTTTGGGGGGGGGGGGTGGTGAGAGGATAAACCTGGTTCCTCTTACTCCATCATGGCTGGAGGTGAAAGTCCTGACTCGTATCCTTATGTACTTTGTGACATCTAACTAGGAGCTGCAGATTTTCCTTGGAACTTACCTTTTAGGATAATTCTTTGAGGCTCAATTTAGAGCTGATTTCCTTCAGAAGAGATTTGTGTTTGCTTCTGTCAATGACTTGGAAACATTATCAGTTAAGGACCACTTTAAAGTTAAATTCTTCACTTGAATTGTGTGAATGAGTGTATGGTTATCAATTCTCAGGCAGAATTCCCCCGAACCCTGACTCAGCACTACTGATACCAGCAGCAGCCCATCAGGAGTGGCTGCTGCAAAGACTTGGGCTGTAGTCTGGGAGGTGTGGCAGGGGCTGCACTCCGTAGATCAAGCCGGAGCCAGGAACAGGCGGGAGCCCCGCCCCCTTCCAAGTTGGTGGGGCACGAGCCCCCGCTCCCAGGCACAACTGCAGCCACCCAGCCATGGCTACAGACCCTGGCATTCTGTGCTCTCTGGGGCCCAGGAATTCCCCCCTCCCCCTGCAGGCTTGGAAGTGTCTGCTCCCGCTGCCTGGCCTCTCCCTGCCCTTGGCGCCTGCTCTGATTTTGGAACAAAGTTGTGGCTGAGCCCAGGTGCTGTCATGATCCGGCCCGGTATCCACACCCTCAGGGTGGCACTGACATACCAGCCCCCTGCCGCCTCGGCTCCCTCCAGACCTTGGGCACTGACAAGCATGAGAGGAAGGCCGAGGGGGTTGTGAGGGTGGCTTGGCGCAGGCCTGCAGGCACCCCTCAGCACGAACAGCCTGGCACCATGAATAGCAGTAGGAGGCAGGCAGGCTCCTGGGCTGAAAGGGGAAGGTCCCCAGTGAAATCCCACCTTCAAGTCAGGGACGGCCTGAAGCCTGGAGCCTTGGGCTTGGCTGCCAGTTCCACAAACCTTATGGTGCTTTCTCCAAGCCTGCTCGTGACTGCCCACTGACCAATCAGCAGGCACTTCCTCCCCTCTGAAGCCCATAAAACTCCAGGGGTCAGCCAGACTTGGGCGGATGGGCACAACCTGCCTGCAGAGAGGAGCTACCCACTGTGGGTCTCCTCTCCACTGAGGGCTGTACACTCATTGAGACAACTTGCCTGCAGAAAGGAGCTACCCACTCCAGGTCTCCTCTCCACTGAGGGCTGCACGGACACCAGGATGACCTACCTGAAGAAAGGAACTACCCACTCCAGGTCTCCTCTCCGCTGAGGGTTGCACAGACACCAGGATGATCTGCCTGCAGAAAGGAGCTACCTGCTCCTGATCTCCTCTCTGTTGAGGGCTGCACAGATGCTGGGGTGACTTGCCTGTGGAAAGGAGCTACCCACTTCCAGTCTCCTGAGAGCTGTACTATCACTTAGTAAAGCACCCCTTCGCCTCGCTCACCCTCCAGATAGCTGCATACCTCATTCTTCCTGGACATGGGACAAGAACTCATAACTCACCAAATGGCAGGACTGAAAGAGCTGTAACACAAACAAGGCTGAAACACGCCTGCCCCACTCCCCCCACCAGCTTGCCATGTTGTGATCAATGAAAAGGAGAGAGGAGAGAAGAGTGGTGGCCCTTTGGGGACCCCAGACCTAGGAGCTCCCTGAGCCAGGGCTGTGACACCCTCTTTGGGGCTCTGTGGTTCCTGGCACCTCCAAGCTTCTGGGCGCCACCACATTCCCCAGTGCCCACAGTGAAAGCCACTTGCAGTATGCCTGGTCCAGCCACAGCCTCATAGGGCACTGGCACACATGTGGGTGCCTGGAGCTGCCCACCCCACTGCAATCAGCATGTCTGGCTATGCACAGTGGCTGGACACTGCACTTGCTTGTTCACGTACCCCTTGCCACTCCACACTTGGCTCACCCTTGGCAGGCATGGGATCCCGGCCTGTAGCGCAACCCAAGTGCAGCCTGCCAGGCCGAGTGGGTGGAACAAGCCCAGCTGGCTTGAGCAAAACTCGGGCAAAGTCACCGCTGGCCACAGAGGTTTCTGGCTGGTGAAGTGACACCCCAAGGATCCTCTGACACTACTGTTGAGAGGGGAAAGTTTTCTTAATGCCACCTTCTGCAAGACAAGGCTTATTTCTTGTTCACCATTATACTGAGTTGTTAGCCTTTGGGATCCCAGCTTTATGCATGCTGCTTCTATTGGGAACGCAACATAGGGCCTAGGTGTTACGTCTTGTCCCCCACATGCCATGCAGCCATCAAAAGAGAAGCTCAGCATCTTCAGGGTTCAGAAATCCTCCGAACAAAAACCAGCTTTGCTGGTTTATCTCCCAAGGTTTACTTTTTCATATTGTTTTAAGTGTCTGTAGATTCCTTATTTTTATGGCATTTCAGCATTTTCCTTTTAAAATGTCACTTCTGAATTTTAGTTATTTTAATTTTACAATGCCTATTCTGTTATCATGACAGAATAAAGACTCTTGTTTGTATCTTTAGACCGTTTCTAGGGGCTCATTCTCATCAGCTGGTAACATACTCAAGTATCTACCATCCTTAAAAAATCCTTGCTTAACCCTGGATCCTCTCTTTTAACTGTAGCATTCTCTCACACTACCTCCCAGCCAAGTTTTTAAAAAGAATTGACTACAGTCATCTTGATTTTATAATCTTTAATTCATCTTTTAACCCGTTGTCATCTGCATCAGCCTTCACATCTCCAGTAAAACTGGTCTTTAGAAAACCAACAATGATTACCTCCACCTGCCAACTCCAATAAACAGTCCTATCTTTCTGGACTAATATGTAACATCTGGTACTTTGGATCACTCTCTCCAGTATGACATTCTCTCTTCTTTACATTCTTTTACATCATTCTAATTCTACTTCTCCCTCCCCAGTCATTTCTTCTCATTGGATCCTCTTTCTCTGCTCATTTCTTTTCAATACGTTGCAAAAGTTTTTCCTTGATTTTCTCTTTGTAGCATCATCTTTTACCAAATCTCACAAACCATATACTACTAGTTGCCATCTTCAAAGCCATTTTTTTTCCTTCCTCAGTAAAAATCCCCAGGGTGTTTTGTTTTGTTTTTTTGAGACATGGTCTTGCTGTGTTGCCCAGGCTAGAGTGCAGTGCCATGATCTTGACTCACTGCAGCCTTGACCACCTGGGCTCAGGTGATACTCCCACTTCAGCCTCCCAAATAGCTGGGACTACAGGCCCACACCACCACACCTGGCTAATTTTTTTGTAGAGACGAGGTTTGCTATGTGCCCAGAGTGGTCTTCAACTCCTAGATTCGAGTAATCCACTCACATCAGCCTCCCAAAGTTGCTGGGATTACAGGTGTGAGCCACTGCACCTGGTCAAAATTTGCAGATTTTATCTGGCATAATACTTCTCAGAATGACCCATTTCCCAACCTTCTTTGCATTTAAATAGAGCCCTGTGACTAAGTTATGGCCAATGGCATGGCAGTGTTGTATGGGATTTCCAGGAAGAAAGGAAGAGAGTTGGTTTGGCTAGGAGAGGCCCCTCTCTGTGCTTGTCTTCCCTCCAAATTCTGTCCTACAACATGACTGGAATGATTATGGACCTTCAGCATCCATCTTGGGACAAGAGGTGACTGTGAGGTTGGAAGCCATGTACTACGAGGATAAGGCATGAAAACAGGATAGGTCCTTACTGACCCCATGGAGCCATATTAGCCTGAACCATCAACCTCTGAACTTCTTTATGAGAGAGAAGTAAATCTCTTTGTGTGAGCTTCCATTATTTTGGAGGAGACAGGGAGTGTTATAAACAGCAAGTCTAGGCCTAACTAGTACCTCTCCCAAATCTCAAACCTCAGTCATACTAGGTTATTTTCTTTTCCTTGCCACCCCCTCCTTGTCCCCTACCCTGCAACCGCATTAAACACATTTTGCTTATTTCGATTCCTAAATAGCTCTCAAATCTTCCCTTACTGCTCATTTTATACTGCTGGAATCTAAGTTCAGGACTTTAATATTTTTTGCTTAGACTAACACAGTAGCCATTGAAGTGGGTTTTTTAAAACATAAGCCTGTATTGTTTCTTTAAAGCCCTACACAAGTTAATCATTTATGGAATAGAGTCTCAGCACCTTAGCGTTGCTTTCTTGGCCCTTCACAACCAGATTCCTACCTTCTTTTCTTTCCCTTTCACTTCAAACATTATTGGCAATAATATACATAGTGAGTTTATAATTATCTAAACATACAAAGTGTTTTATGCCTTGTGCCTTTGCACATGTTCTTGCTCTTGCTTGCTCTTGTTCTTTCTTCTTTGTTCATCTGGTTAACTCTTCTTGTCCTTTAAACTCCAGTTCATGCATTACGTCATCCAGCCAGTTTTCCTTGATGTCTTCCATACCTTCCCTACATTTCCTCCTAAAACCATGTACTGAATAAACAAAAATACATTTTAGGAAAATTAAGAAGAAATTATGTGAAGCATAATAATTAAAATGACTCTCAAGAAAAAAAACCATTTTATCTAAAATCTGAAGATTTAGGGAATGGTGTTTTAACAAATTGACAGACCAAATAAAATCATCAAGAAAATGAATATAATAATAGCACCTACCAAGTGGTGGTATTGAATGAATTATGTGGGCTATGCATATAAATGACTTAGCAAGGTGCTTAGAACATAGCAAGCCCTCCCCCACACACTATCATCATAATAATCTATTAGTTATAATAATAATTAATATTCATTGTAATTGTGTTATGAAGAAAAAAAAAGTTGGTGAAGGTTACAGAAATCCTTGTGTGGTAGAAAGAAACCCAAGACACTTTTAAGATACTGCTGGGAAATTTGTTTCACAAATGTGAAAAATAGGTTTCCTTCCTAAAAGTGGGTTTACCACATAGCTTCCCTAAGCAGCACCATTGCTTGGGAGTGAAAGTTGTCCATTCATTTGCATGAGACCCTTTGGCTATTGAATTGGAGCCATAAAGCTATGTGACCTACCCTTTTTATGTGTATGAGGAGCCCAGACTCTGAATCTACTTCAAGAACTCAAACCATATTTTCCAAAAAGTTAAGCTTGGGTGTTTGCTTGCATTTTATATGAATATATGCATAAGCAAAGCAATGTTTGAGCAGGATATGGGAGGAGTGTGAATGGGAATTCAAACAACAGACACATTGTCTAGATTTTCTCTGGTAAGAGTGATTAAAGAAATGATCATAGCTTCACACATACTGCGTGTTTGTGCAGTAATCATGCTTTACAATTGGTTCTGCCATTAATGCCAAAGATTCTTTTTTAGAATGTGATAAACCCTTTTGGCTCCAACGTATCAGTTCCAAACATTCCTTGGCTTTTTTTGTGCTTAATGATGGAGTTTTAAAAGCCTAATTTGTATAGCTCTGTGTGTGTGTGTGTGTGTATGTATTGGAGCTGGGGATAGGGCTGGGGATAAAGGATAAAAAAAGAGAAAATGCAGCTTGGAAGATTGACAGTATTTTAAAAGTGAACTCACATGGCAACCATTCATAGTCAAAAAAGATAGATAGCAAAATGTACAAAAGAAAAACAGTCCCAAAACATAATTTTAGGGTTCTCACTGACTAAATTCATTTAGGAGACAACAAAACCTAATTATACACGAACATGAGGATACATATCTAGATATGATTGTCAGTTACTCTTCATACTTTGCTTAGGTATATCCATTCGACTGGTCCCATTGATGAAAAAGTAGCAACTGTTGTTTTAATGTGTCATCTGTAACAGAGCTGAAATCGAATTTGCTAAAAATTATTTATTCCTTTCTGATTTCATCCTAATGCACAGGTTTAGGTAATCCTAAATAGAAACCATGAAACTGGGTTTTTTGTTTGTTTGTTTGTTTTTTGTACCCTTGTCCTTCTCCAAGATATATTAGTAAAGCCTCAGGAGAAAAAGGAAGATTTGCTGTTATTCTGTTATTCCGATATATTACAAACATTTCCCTTTCTCTAGTTACCAATAATAGAGTTATTTTTTATCAAATGCTTATTATATGTCAACTGTTATGCTAGATATTTTGAAACCCAGTTCTGCTGTTTATTAGTAATTTAGCTTCTCTACGTTTCCTTACTTGTAAAAACAAAGATAAAAGTACCTACATAATAGGGTTGCTGTAAAAATTACCATTAAGTGGTTAGAACAATGTGTGGTACATAGAAAACACTCAATAAGTGTCCAGTGCTATTATTACTTACTATAATTTAAGTTAATCCCCAAAACCACCCGTTAAAGGAGATATAATAATCCCATTTTACAGATGAGGATGTTGAGGTTCAGAGGCCAATAAACTTGCACACTCAGCTAATAAAAGCCACAGCTGGAATTTGAGCCGATTTCTGCATGCCTTTGAAACCCATGCTTCCTATTATGCCACATTGCCTCCTCAATCTGATAATTTTTCAATCTTACCTTGAACATATGGTCTTAGTCTGTGTGCCTCAGTTTCCTCATCTGTAAAGTGGCGACAATAACAGTGCCTACATCCCAGGGTTGTTACAGTAAGCACTCAATAAATATTATTATTATTAGTCTGATGTTTGTCCTAATGATGACATTTCTTTTTGATATTTAGGGCTACCTTGAAACTTTCTATGCAAGTTTTTTTGTAATTGATTGTCTATCCAGTAAAGTGATGACCAATTTTAACCTCATCTTTCACCCAGTGACATGATCATTATATTAAAGTTCCTCTTAATCTGCTTAACATTTTATTTCTAAATTCTCTTTGAACCTCTCTTGGAAGAACTTTAACATCTTTATGTAAGAATAACAGACTCAAACCACCTGAAATAACAAAAGTGGGGATTTTTTTTTTTTTAGGGGATCTGTTTGTTCTGGAATACCATGAAAGAAGTTAGCTAATTCAGCAGATTACTAGCTTCAAAGCAGTTCAATTTGACCAACTTGGGAGCCAAAACAGTCTTCATGGTCAGCATACAAATGTGAATTTAATGACTGGACTAACAAGTGCATTATAAAAGTTGTAAGTAAGAGAAAAGAATAAAGTGGGAGCCAACTGCTTCATTTTTGATGGAACTCTGGTTTATGATTGCCAACTTGTTATTTCAACAGTCATAGTTAATGCTTTATGATGTCCTACCTGGCTCAAGTTGTTATTCCTAGTTGGAGTCATTTTTTTTTTTTTCTGAAACTTGACTTCGTTTTCCTTTTCTTTAATGGCTAAGAATTTCAAATGACATTCTAAAATCCAGAGGACTGAACAGTCAAAACTGGCAGAACTCTGAACTCCTACAAGGAATGAAGCATCAAGTCTTTCATCAAGGATTGCTGATCATACGTGGCATCATCACCTCCTGATGATACACATTAGTGAAGGGGACCAGTGACCCAGATAATCCAAACATTATTTATTCAATTTTGGAATGCGTTTTGTATTTACATTTGATCTTGGGCATGTCTTGAGTTCTTGGAATTGGAAACTGAAACAAAATAATGAAGTCACACTATTTGACCCAAAGAACCAGGAAAAGCAGCCCAGATTCTCTACCTTGAACTTGTCTTCAACCCCTTCTGCTTTCAGTTCCATCAGGAGTTGAGCTTTTATTTGCCAGATTAACAACCCAAGTGGAACTTTTCCTTTTTCAGCCTCTAGTCTTTGAGGCTTCCATCTTCCATTAAATAAGGGAGAAAATTGCATATGGAGTGGAAAACCCTTCTAGTGGCTATTAATAGGGCCACACAATGCATGAATAAGGATAAACAGATTTTGGATGATCTTAAGTAAGTTACTGTCTTCAGTTTCTTTTCCTTTACATATGAGCTGATTCTGGTGAGGGTTAAATGAGATGGTGTGGCAAATCATACTTAATTCTGTAAAAATGATAGCTCCATTATATTAGTTTTAGGTGGGAAGAAGCTCAACCTCAAGCTAAATCACGTGGTGAATTATCAATGTATGGATAAGAATTAAATATAATCCCACAAGAAAAATATATTTAAACGTCTGTGCAAAGTAAAGGAAAAACACCAATGCAACCCAATGAATACTTACATAAAGTGATATATTTAAGAAGTGAAAAATGTCAAAAGGTCAAGAGGGAGGAAAACATTTACAAGTAGATGAAACAGATTGCCGAAAAAACTACTGATCTTTCTAACAAAAAGCTCTAGTTTATTGCCTGCAACATGTCCAAAGTATAACAAATTTGTTTCATTTCAATTACTTGCTATTAGCAAGCAATGTACTGTGTCACTTTTGTTTTGTGATCATTTCATAATACTCCTGGATTACTTATTAATGGTTTGTTTATTTAATTCCTAGGACACAAAAGTGTGCGTTATCTGAATGCCATGCCTTTAAAAGCCTGTTCAGCCCTGTTCAGAGCTTCTTTCTAATAGCAATAACTAGTGCAGGATTTTTTAAAAATAATAGTGAATATTAACTATAACTTGGAAGGTGTTCTGTAGCAATTGTTTTCAACTACACCTTCAGCTTTTGGAAGAAAAAGTAGCATTTCTTTATGTAATTATGTGGGAGTAACTTACGTGTTAATCATATACAGTGCTTTTCAATGGTTTTATTCTGTTTAACCTCAATAATGCTCAGGTTATTAGGGCTTCTTAAATTTTCATATTATATTTGTTAAATTTTAAAACTACAAGATCAGTAACATTTACTTGTAGACTCACACCAAAAAAAATTACTTCCCAAATATCAAGTTGAAATCATCATACATTAAACATACAATTTCATTGTTTATTTTCCCCCATACCAACTTAAGTAAAACCTCCAATCTACATGAGTTAGGCCAAACAATGGTATTAACTTCTCAAACAATCTCAGTGGTTCTCACAATTTAGAGTACATAAGACTCCAAGAGAACTTTTTTTAAAAATGCAGATTCTTGGGCTCAACCATTAGACTAGTGTGTAAATTCAAAGTTCGGTTTCAGGATCTCCATTTTTAACCAACACTACAGGCAATTCTGATGCAGGAGATTCCCAATACATGTCTTCAGAATCACCAACTTACACCAATACACTAATCAGACTTGAAAAGGGATTTAGTTGCAATAATGATAGCACAAAACTTATTTTTTCAATGTGCTGTTAATCCTGATTATAAGCATTATACTAAAACATGGAGTTGTTCAACATAATACTGAGAAGTTAGGTATACTGTAAAGAGTCATTTTTCTGGTTTGAGGAGTCACTAATTCAAACATTTATTGCACACTGATCACATTTGTTCTGCACTGTAACATTTAAAAACTAAACACAAAACTAGATTCTGCTTAGTAAGGATTTATAATCTAGTTAGAAAGGCAAAATATAACCATAGAGAAGTTAAGTCATGTTAGAGTAAATGAAAAACGGCAAATAAAGAGAAATCAGGGAGGCACTGATAGGGATTGAAGTGAAA